GCACGCTCACACACATACACAAAAATAAGACAGTTAAGATAGTTATACACACAATCCTAAGACAAAGTGTATAAAACACCATATAAATAAAATTGTATAAAACTACTTTCTCTTAGTTCATTAAAAAGAAAGGTTTATGCTAATATTGTTTGAACAATTAAATGCCATTACCTTGTATTCTAAGTAACAAATTTAAAGATAACAATGTGCAATGTATTATTAACCATTGTTACTCTCCCATTATCTTGTTTTGCAATTTTGAGTTTTTTTCTTTTTAAAATAAAAAAGAGGGGGGCTGGGGCTGTAGCTCAGTGGTTGAGTGCTTGCCTAGCACGCACAAGGCCCTGAGTTCAATCCCCAGTACCACAAGAAAGAACAAGAAAAATAAATACATAAATAAAATGAAATTAAAATAACAGATATCATAAATATATATGCACCAAAAAAAATTGTAAAAAAAAATATATACATATATATGCACCAAATACAGGGACACTCAACTATATAAAATATTACGTATTAATGGACATGAAAAATCAAATAAGCATTAACACAATTGTAATGGGGGACCTTAATATCCCACTGTCACAAATAGATCAACCAGACCAAAAAAATCAACACAGAAATATCAGAATTGAACCAAACCAGTGAACAAATGGACTCAGATGTCTACAGTGTTCCACTCCACAATATTCAAATCACATTCTTCTCAACTGCAGATAGGACATTCTCTAAAAGATCTCAGTGTTATCAGCACTTCTGCACAATACCTGAAGGTAAAGGCTGAAGAAGTCTTTACTTCTCAGCAAAGACGGTAGATGTTCACGCAAGTCACAGCGTAAACTCTGCTTAGGGAACACCCTCTCCTGCCCCTTTCCGGGCACGGATGGGATCTGACTTATGACTTCTGTATTGTGACAGAAGTGGTGGATATCTGTTCTCTGTGAGTTTCTAAATGACTCCATTCATCCTTCACATCCCTGGCACTGGATTAGCCTCTTTTACTGTGGTGGGTTTTTTTTTGGTTTTTGTTTGTCTGTTTTTTTGACTTTGTGAGACAGGGTGTAGTTACATAGTACAGGCTGGCCCTGGGTGGTCCTAAACTTGCAACAATCCTTATTCAGCCTTCCAGAGTGCTGAGATTAGGGGCATGCACCACCACCTCAGGCCTCTTACTGTTGTTATGGTTGATACACTGTGTCAACTTGAGAAATCTAGAGGCTTGGCTAAGTGACTCAGCAGTTCTACACCCTGGGGTGAAAAGGACACGCCCTTTCTGCTCTAGGATGTTTTCTGGTATTCATCCCGAGCCAGTGCAAGAGGCGGGCACTGAGATGGTGTGGGTGTGGGGACATGCTCTTCTTGCTCTAGGATGTTTTCTGGTATTCATCCCGAGCCAGTGCAAGAGGCGGGCACTGAGACGGTGTGGGCGTGAGTGGGTAGCCAGCATACAACCTAAGGGAGGAAAAGAGGCTTGCTGCCCCCGCTTGCGCTCTTGTTACTTTTGCTGTCTTCTGCCATGTCGAAGTGTTGCCCCTGTGCCCTACTACCCTGCCTTGGAGCCAGCTGATTCTGAATGGAAACCTCCACAAACTGTGAGCTAAATAAACCTTTCCTTCCTTAATTCTGGGCATCGAGTATTTTGTGTCAGCAAGGAGAGAAAAGTAACCAAGGTAACTGTGGTACCTGGAGATAATGAAATGGGTATCTCCTTAAAAAAAAAGAAAAGAAAAAGATCCTATCTCAAAAAAATAAAACAAGCACTGTTCTCACAATTAAGAACTAATTAGGATCTCTAAATTAGTAAGCAATAGGTTGAACACTCAGCTCCCTGCATTCTGATTTCGTTTTAGATTTGAAACTGGTACTAACTTACTGTTCTTTCCCTATGCCAACAAAAAAGTGGCATTATCTTTCCCACTACAATTTACTTTTGATAAGACCATCAGGGAAGTGACAAGCTTTGAAGGAAGAACAAAACTGAAACCAGACTACACATGAGTAAGCTGCAGCATGAGAGACGGTCACGGAGTGAGAGCGGGGCCAGTGAGCTCAGCCACACATCACACGTGACTCGCGACCGTCCAAGAGTTAGACTCAACTCAGGGCTGCAGCTGACAGGCAGCACCGCTCCGCCTACACGACTCAGTCCGAAACCCGCCGCCTCCTCCGGGAGAAGGCTCCACACCTCCGAGAGGAATCAGGACTGCTGTCACTCTTCGCTGCCTCCTCGCCTTCCCACACCCCCCGCTGACGACGTCCACGTTCCCCACCACAGTGCAAACGCTGGGAGGGCAGGAACTGTCATGTGCACGTCAGCCCGCCCAAGCACCGGTGAAGCGCCCGAAGCACAGCAAGCTCTTTCCAAACTACAGCGCACGGCGAACGTACCTGCGGGCAGCTCGCGGAAGCGCAGGTACTCCATAGAGCGTGTGGTCACGAGGGGCTTTTGCGGGTAGTAGAGCACGTGGGCCAGCGTGTCCATGCGGACGTGGAAGTTGGTGATATAGACCCCCATAGCCTGCTTGCCCATAGCGGACTGGTATGTGTTCCTAGGGGACTAACAGCAGAAAACAAAGGCACCGTCAGTGGGAACTTAGTCTCTAAGGAAAGACTTTTCCAACCAACGGCCTGAAAAAGCATTTGTTTAAAATGTGGTTTGTATTAAATAAATAAATAGATAGGTTTTTACCAAAACGAAAAAAAGCATGGGAACTTTTTTTTTTAACTGAAATGTAAGTGATAACCATTTAAGACAACTGATTCTGGCTCTTAACAAAGAAACACAATAGCACACAAAACTACTGATTCTGCAGTTTATAACCTTTTCATCAAAAGGCTTTTCTCTTAAAATGAGCTCAGACTAAAGACTACTTTTCGTTACTTCCCCCAATTCCTTGTGAAAGAGAAGACAAGAACACCTCCAAACCTGGTTATGATCGGGAAAGGGAATAATGGAGGCGCAGACGCCGAGGATCATGGACGGGTGAATCTCGCAGTGGGTGTAGGTGGAGCAGTAAGCCACCTCCTTCTCCTGCAGGTCGTCCGGGGTCATGGCGAGCATCACGGTCTCCTCCTCCAGGGTGTCGATGTACTCCACCACCCCACTGGCCACAAGGTCCTGCCAACTAGGACACAGGTCAGGCTCGTCACTGCCTCCAGGACTGTAACTAGTGAGCTCTCCTACCTGATGAGAAGTGCTTCTAAGGCTGGGCACGGTGCTGCACCCGTGATCCCAGCCCTTGAAAGGCTGGGCCAGAAGGATCACTGCGAGCCAGCCTGGCCTCCACAGTGAGTTCAAGGCGAGCCTGCACTATACAGCAAGACCCTGTCACCCCACCCCAAAATTACTTCTATATTTATATGTACTAATATGGAAATAGCTCCACAGCAGACACATGATTTTTTTCAAGTTTTAACCATTCATCTTTACTAATGAAACAGGCTCCTAGGCCAATACACACTCTCAGACACAGATGTAAAGTTCCAGAAAACAAAAAAGCAGAGTGTAAACTCCTGAAAACGAAGTGAAAGTCTTTCAACACCCAAGACCTTAACACTTATCTAAGCAAGAAGACCAAGAATAAGTTAACTTATTTGTTTACAAAAATAATCATTTATCAGCTGGGCGCAGTGGCGCATGCCTATATTCCCAGCACTCGGGAGGCTGAGGCAGGAGGATCCTTGCGAGTTCAAGGCCAGCCTGGGCTACAAAGTGAGCTCAAGGCCAGCCTGAACAGCATAGCAAGACCCTGTCTCAAAAACACAAATAAATAAATAAATAAATAAATAAATGTCTACTATATTATTCCTATTACTACAGGTATTACTAGTTACATACGTACTTTACACTGACATAGGTTGTTTCTCCCTGCTACTATTAGACTTTTAACACACCACGAAGACTCTCACACCTAAATTCCTCCCATCTCCTACATGGTAACAAAGATTAAGCAAAACCGATGTGACTGCTAATGCCGGAGCTTCTGGAATGACACAGCGGTGACAGCTGTACAAGCCTGTGACTATGAGAAACCGATGAGTTGTACCCTTTTTTTAGATGGTTAACTTTAGAACTGAGAATCCTCCCTCAATTTTTTGAATGGACACATTTACTAAGTCTCTACCTGTAGTTGTTGTATTCTCTCTCCTTCAGTTGGTCGATATGTCTCTTCTTCAAAAGCAGCTTTTGTTTCTCCACAATCAGAAGTGGCCTACAAATGCGGCCTGCATCCGTATAGATCCGGATCTCTCTCTCTCGGATATCTCTGATCATAGAGACCTACACAGGAAAGATGAACACGCTCATGAACTCTTATTTTTTCTGTATCACTGCAGCTTAACTAAAAACAGAACTTCAGCTGGGCACAGTGGTGCCTGCCAACAGCTCGAGCACTCAGGAAGCTGAGGCAGGGAGATCACTGAGCCCAGGAGTTTGAGACCGGCCCAGACAGCACCGCAAGAGCCCATCTCTAAACAAAGAAAACAGGAACTGAACTTCCACAGCAACCAGCTACCAAATGAAATGGACAATCGCAGTTACCACTGTTCAATCTATCAAAAACACAGGTATAGGGCCGGGGATATAGCTCACTGGCACAAGTGCCTGCCTGGCAAACACAAGGTCCCGAGTTCGATTCCCGGTACCAAACAATAAAAAAAATAAAAACATAGGTATAATGTAAAATTCTATAAAAGAAAAGAATCTGACTTTGGTAACAGCAGAACTAACCACTACTATCTGAAAGTAATGTCAAATTAAGTTAATGTAAAGTGGTATGTACCACAAACACTATTTTTGACAGTTTCTTACTTTATCTCTTTACTACACATACTTTATTCTGTAACTTTCAATAAACAGCCCTCAGGCTGGGTATACAGCTCAGTGGCACAAGCACCTGCCTAGCAAGTGTGAGGTCCTGAGTTCAATTCCCAGTACGAAAAAAAAAAAAGCAGCCCTGTAGCACCCCGTCCTAACCGTACTCTTCAGTCAGAAGCCTGGCGCCTCACGGTGACCCTCAGGATCTAGCACAGTAGCTCCCAGCCACAGATGACTGCTGAGCACTTGCAAAATGTAGCTCACCAGTTTGGTTTATTCTATTTTGGGTTGGTTTTTTTTTTTGTCTTTTTGGGACAGGGTCTCGCCATGTAGTACAGGCTGGCCCTGAACTTGCTTATGTAGCCCAGGCTGGCCTCAAACTCCCAGTGATCCCCCTGCCTCAGCCTGCCGAGTGCTGGGATCGTAGGTGGCCACCACCATGCCTGGCTCCTATCTCTTTGTAAAATTCTGTTTTGAGGGGCTGGGGATTTAGCTCAGCGGCACGGCGCCTGCCTGGCAAGCACAAGGTCGTGAGTTTGATTTCTGGTATGGGGCGGGGGGGGGAGGGGATTCTGTTTTGAGATAAGATCTCACTAAGTTGTCCAGGCTAGTCTTGAACTTGGTATTAGTTTTCCAAAATATTTTGGTATTTTCTAGATGAACGTGTCCATGGCCAGTGGAATGTGAGTCACATGCAACTTTTTTGTTTGTTTGTTTTCCTCTTTTTGAGACAGGGTCTCACTATGCAGTTCAGGCTGGCCTTGAGCTCACTTTGTAGCCCAGGCTGGTCTCACCTGCAGTGATTCTCCTGCCTCAGCCTCCAAAGTGCTAGGATTACAGGAGTGCGCCACCACACCGAGCCACATGTGCAATTTTAAAGAAGTTTTAGCAGTCATATTAAAAGAATAAAAAGGAAATAAATGAAAATAACTTTAAGAACATATCTGAGTTTGAGGCCAGCCTCAACTATAGGGAGACCCTGTCTCAAAAAACCGAAAAGAAAGAGGGAGGAAAGAGATGGGGCTCATGT